GGCTGAGGCATAAGGATTGCTTAAATCCAGGAGTTTGAGGTTGCTGTGAGCTAGGCTGATGCCACGGCACTCTAGCCCGGGGAAAAGAGTGAGACTCTGTCTCAAAACAAAAACAAAATAGGATGCCTCAACCACTGTGTAGTAGCAACATGGGATCCCAAGGGAGGCTGTCCCGAAGTATTCAAAATACATCCTAGTCCCAGAGCTGCTTACCTTCTCAACCTTCTTATCCAAGATTTCCTTCATGAGCTTGCAGAGATTCTCAAACTTTGCCTTACTCTCCTCCATCTTCTTCTTCTCCTCCTCATCCTCAGGTAGCTCCAGGCCCTCCTTGGTAACTGAGACCAGGCTCTTCCCATCAAACTCCTTGAGCTGCTGCACGCAGTACTCATCAATGGGCTCAGTCATATACACCACCTCAAAACCCCGCTTCCGCACTCGCTCCACAAAAGCAGAGTTGGCCACCTGCTCTTTGCTCTCACCTATAAGGTTATTAAATGCAACTCAGGGGGACCAAAATGCCTCATATTGCCAGTTCCCAGAGAGCCCTGGATATGCCCCCACCCAGAAAGTGGCTTTGATCAGACCAAGGTTCCAACGCACCAGTGATGTAGTAGATGGACTTCTGTGTTTCCTTCATTCGAGAGACGTATTCTGACAGAGAAGTCATCTCATCTCCAGACTGGGACGTATGATAGCGCAGCAGCTCAGACAGGCGTCGCCGGTTAGTGGAGTCCTCATGTATTCCAAGCTTTAAGAGTAGGAAGAGAAAAAACTTAATTGGAAATAACCTAACTCTCTGTATGAAAACTTTATCATAATTAAGGAAGTAATCAATGGAATAAGCATTTGCCTCCTCACCTTCAGGTTCTTAGAGAACGCCTCATAGAATTTCTTGTAGTTTTCCTTGTCTTCCGCCAACTCAGAGAAGAGCTCAAGGCACTTCTTAACAATGTTTTTGCGAATGACTTTCAAGATTTTGCTCTGCTGAAGCATTTCTCGGGAGATGTTCAGAGGAAGATCCTCCGAGTCAACCACACCACGGATGAAGTCTGCCATCAATCAAGGTAGAAAGCTTAGTAGAAACAGCTAGACAAGGCCTGGGCACCCAGATATGAACAGAAGGCTCTGATATTCCCAGAATCCCCTATTACTATGTTGCAAGGAACTGTTAATTATTTAGTAGTATAAAAACATTAGTTCCAATAGAATGCTGAAGACCTAACTCTTCCCCAACTAAATTAGGCGAAGGAGATACTCACTGAGATACTCTGGTATCAATTCATCGCAGCTGTCCATGATGAATACACGACGGACATAGAGTTTGATGTTGTTCTTTTTCTTCTTGTTCTCAAAGAGGTCAAAGGGAGCCCGACGAGGGATGAACAACAATGCCCTGAATTCCAACTGACCTTCTACAGAGAAGTGCTTGACTGCTAGGTGGTCTTCCCAGTCATTGGTGAGGCTCTTGTAAAATTCTCCATACTCCTCCTGGGTGATGTCATCAGGGTTTCTGGTCCAAATGGGCTTGGTCTTGTTTAGCTCTTCCTGATCAATGTATTTCTCTTTAATCTTCTTGGTTTTCTTTTTCTTATCCTTACTGCTGTCATCTTCCTCATCTGAACCCACATCTTCAATCTTGGGCTTCTCTTCATCATCTTTATCTTCCTCTTCTTTCTCACCTTTCTCCTCTTCTGCTTCATCATCACTGATTTCTTTCTCTCGTTCCTTCTCCAAATAAAGGGTGATGGGATAGCCTATGAACTGTGAGTGCTTCTTCACTACTTCTTTGACCCGCCTCTCCTCTAAGTACTCTGTCTGATCTTCTTTAAGGTGAAGGATAACTTTGGTACCCCTGCCAATGGGCTCACCATGGTCAGCACGTACAGTGAAGGAACCCCCAGCAGAAGATTCCCAGGCACACTGTTCATCATCGTTGTGCTTTGTGATCACAACCACTTTCTCTGCCACCAGGTAGGCAGAATAAAAGCCAACACCAAACTGCCCAATCATGGAGATGTCTGCACCAGCCTGTAGAGCCTCCATAAATGCTTTAGTACCAGACTTGGCAATGGTTCCCAAATTATTTATGAGATCAGCCTTGGTCATGCCTATGCCTGTGTCCACCAAAGTCAGAGTGCGTTCCTGAGGGTTGGGGATGATGTCAATTTTCAACTCTTTACCACTGTCCAACTTGGAAGGGTCTGTCAGGCTCTCATAACGAATTTTGTCCAAGGC